ACCCCCGGATCTGAGGATGCAGCGCCTGACGGCCACGCGCTGACGTCAGCTGGTGCCCCTCGGGGGCCACGGCAGGTCCTCGGGGGTGGGAGGTGGGATCAGAGGGGCTGAGCCCACAGAACGAGGCCACTGGTGCTGAGAAGGGAGCCCGAATCCAGACTGACCGCTGGCCGACACGACTGGACACGGGTCAGGAGAAGTGGGAATCCACACCCCTAAGGTCAGCTGTTTGCAAGAACCGCTTTTATGCCCAAACATGCAGCCAGTCTCCCCATGGGGGGACACTGGAGGAGGAAGCAGAGCAGCAGATGGACAGTGCCATCCTGCCACCTAGTGTCCAGGGCGCGCCGCTGCTTCTCCCAGGGGCCGCAGGCTCCTCCCCAGCCAGGGCAGCCCCAGGCCAGGCGCGCCCCAGGGCAGCGAGAAGGCAGGGCCCGGAAGGCCACACCACCTGCCCCACCCACCCGCCCGCCGCTGGCCACAGGCAGGGCAGCGCAAGGGGCCGCCCTCCACCTGGCCGCCCGCAGGACACTCAGAGAAGCACAGGCCTGCCCAGGACCGCCCCTGCCGGGGAGGCGGCGCAAGCAGGATGCTGCTCTCGTCCGCCACAGACCTCTGGCATCGCCCTACTCGGGCTCACGGGCGGGCACCCCTCAGCAGAGCAACACGCATGTGGCCGGAGCTGCAGCTCCGGGGAGTCGGCCAGGCGTGACCTCCGGCGGGCACGCGCAGAAAGTGCAGTTTTGGTGTTTTGGTTCAAAGAACGTCCCAGTCTTAGGGATGTCTGCAGACAGGGCCACGCCCCCCCACCCCGGTGGGCGCTCTGCAAAGGGCGGGGGCTGCAGCCCGGCTCCGGCCGCTCAGCGCCGCCCACCGGACGCCACTGCGGGAGGTCAGCACGGGCCTGGCGGTAAGCAGACGTGAGGGCCGCACGCCTCCCGACCACCAGCCTTGAAGACCCAAAGTAAACGCCCCGTTTTCGGCCATTTGGGCCCCAGCTTTGCGGCATCTGAAGCACAGAGCCGCCGGCAGGGGCCTGCTGGCGCAGGGAAGGGCAAGGCAGAGGAGGACGCACGTCGCCATCCCCCGGGGTTCACTGACACCCCAAGACCTCGGGGGTGTGGAGGACCTACCGTGTGCCAGGACCACGGGCTCGCTGCGGCTGGTGGGTGACAGGACGGACAGGCAGACGGAGGAGCCGCCGCAGGGAGCCGAGTGCCGAGGAGGATGCCCGGCTTTGGGGGTGTGGGGGGGCAGATGTGAGGCTGCAGGGGCTGAGGGAACCAGGCGTGTGGAAATGCAAGGGCGTGTCCCAGGGACAGGCCGCGAGACAGCCCGGGGTGGGAGCAGCGAGCTGCGGGGCTGAGGGCCGGGGGCGCGGGGCCACGCCGTGGTGCGCCACGCACCTGACGGAACCTCGGTGAATTCCCCCTCGGCTCTGTCCCTGCCGCGTGGTTCCCTCCTGGGCCGTCTGGGCGCTCCGAGGCCCGGCACTTCTGCCCCGAGCTGCCGAGTGCTCGCCCAGCGTCACGACCGCCCCTGGGGAGCGGGTGCCACATGCGCAGACTCGCGCTTCCTGTTTGCAAGCTCGGTCTCTGCCACGGCTGATGGGGAGCCGCGCCGAGGCCCGGCAGCGTCGCACTTACGTGTAGACGGTCCCGAAAGTGTGCACCTTGGGGTCTTCCTCCTCGATGGAGAACCGGGACCACAGCTCCTGCGGCCCCTGGCGCGTGGCCTTCGGGCCCAGATCCCAGCGCAGTTCGATGCTGTGGTGGGTCACCTGGCCCACGACGGGCGGGTGAGGCTCGGAGCACGGTGCGGTAGCTTACAGAGGAGGCAAACGCAGAGGACACGCGTGTCAGGGCCTCCCCCGAAGGAGGCCAGCTGAGCGCCTCACCGCGGCTCGCCCACCAGGCTGGCCCCACGCCCGCCCGGCTCCGGCATGAGCCTCCGAGGAGACCCACGCCAGGACACGCGGCCAGCGTGGGCGGGGAGCGGCCCGACCAGCCCTGTCCTACGGGATGCACCGAGCCAGCAGCGTCACGCTTCGCTCAGGGCACAGGGGGCGGCCCGAGGGCGGGGGTGTCCGAGGGTGGGCCGCAGGTGTGGGCCCAGCCCACACCCATGAAGAGTGGCCCAAGGGGAACTTTGTTGAATCCCCGCAAGGGCTCCCCCGGGCCGCGTAACCCGTCAAGCGAGCCCGACCGTCTCCGAGTGAAGCGATGGCCGCTGGCCCCGGTTCTGCAGCCCAGATGACTGTGTCGAGGTGATTCTGTGTGGGCAGCTCATACGCGTGAGCTGAGGGGGGCTGACCCCAAACCGGGCAAGCCACAAGCGGTGCACGTGGGGGTGAAAACCCATGACCCCCCGGAGCCGAAATGACATCGTGGCCCCGAGCGGCCACAGCCAGGCACCACGACACGTGGCGCGCTCTCCAGAGGGGCAGGCGAAAGGGCTGTCGGCTGCGGCCACGAAGGGAGGAGACACGCGGGGGAGGCCCCGCCTCAGCCAGGTCCCCCCGAGACCAGAATGTGGGCACGTGTGAGGACGCCAACGGCCCAGCTGCCCGCGGGCGGCAAGGGAGACGCCGATCGCTGAGGAGCAGTCCGAAAGGTGATCACCCTGGCAGACTCTCCGAATGGAGGCGGCTACACTAGATGTCTTGGGAGGATTCCAGCAGGCACTGCTGAGAGCAGTCTCTTTCAACAGCTCTGCATCTCGGTGGAAATCCAGACGCGAGGAAAAATGCAGGCTGGGAAATTCTGCAGAGACACAGTCACCGCCAGCACGCGCCACCTCGCTCGGCGCACAGGCGCCACGGATCACCCTCCACAGAAGTGGGGGCCGGCGGCGTTTCTGGCCCAAAGTCACCTGGCCTAGGGCTGCGGGCAGGGGGCCTTATGCACCCTGGAGCACGGCCGCCCCCCGGCCCGACCCCAGCCTACCGCCGTGAGGAGTGAAGCACCTTTCCTAAGGCCACGTAAGTCCACGTCTAGCAAAACTCAAACGCTGACATCGCTGCTATTCAGTGACTCGGCGTTTCCCTCCGCACTTGCCTCTGTCTTCGCAAGCAGAACTGCTTCGGGAACTGCACTCAGAAGTTTTATAAAGTGGACAGACACATCCCTAAGTGCACATTCGTAAACGACTCCGGTGCTGGTTTTACAGACGTCTAGGACCGTCTGCCCCAATTATGACCCTGAAAAAGCGCTTGGCTGCGGCCGTCAGGCCTGGTAACCGTCGGCCCAAGGAAGCGCACGGCTCCCGGGCGCAGACACCACAGCTGCCGGGCGTCCCGGAGGGGACCTGGTGCGCGGCTTGTTCCCTCAGCTAACCGGCCGGCGCCCCCCACCGTGGCAGACTTTCCTTGTGCTGGAAGTTTTCCGAAGAAGGCACAGAACAGTGACAAGGCCCACCGCGCAGGCCAGGCGGGCAAGCCTGCGGGTGTGCGCGCGCCGAGCGGGCTTTCCGTAAGAAGTTCTTGTGCAGCCCTGACAAAACAATTGTATGCCCCTGTTGCCATTTGTCTAGCGGGAAATAGCGTGACCATGAAGTGGGGCCGGCTCCCCGCCACCCCAGTCCCCGCGGCGCCGGAGACGGCTC